ATTAAAGGAAGACTCATTAATAACTTGCAAGATGCAAGTGATACACCTTGTTTGGTGAACATAAAGAGGTCTTGACATACATACTGATGAAGCTCAAGAACTAGATCCTTCAGTATATATAGATTACACACCAATATAAAGAAAACAAAATTCCTCACAACTGGACCAATAAGCAACATCAGGATAAATGGAGAAAAGATTGAAGCTCTCAAAGGTTTCATTTTGCTTGTATCCACAATCAACTTCCATAGAAGGAGCAGTCAAAAAATCAAATAGTGGGCAAATTTGCATTGGGCAAATCGGCTGCGAAGGATCTCTTTGAAGCGTTAGAAAGCAAAACTGTCACTTTGAAGACTAATGTCCACCTAACCCAAACCATGTCTGAAATGCTTGTGAAAACTGGAAACAAAAAAAGAAGACGGAAGAAGAACTGATGTTTCGGAATAATTAAATTGGCTAAGAATATTGAATATACAATAAACTTCCAAGAGAATGAACAAATCTATCTTGGAAAAAGTACAGCCAGAGTGTTCCTTAAAAACAAAGACAGTGAGACTTTGGACATGTTATCAGGAGGGATCACTCCCTACAAAAGGACATCATGCTTGATAAAGTAGATGGTCAATTAAAGGAGAAAGATCCTCAAGGAGATGGATTGAAATAGTGGCCACACAGTGGGCTCAGATATATCAACCATTGTGAGGATGGTTCAGGGATTGGGCAGTGTTTCATTCTGTTGTACATAGAGTTATTGTGAGTTAAAACCAACTCGACACCTAACAACAACCACTCCACCCCATGTTGTGAGGGCACCCCTGTCCTATTGGCCTCTCAGAGTTACATGGGAATCTCTGAGCCATATATGCATTTCTTTTCAGATCGATGCCTTGACAGAGGTCGTGACTGCCGTGCAAGGGAAGATTGAAGTATACCTGGACGGTGGCGTTCGAACTGGCAATGATGTGCTAAAAGCCCTAGCACTTGGAGCAAAGTGCGTTTTTATTGGCAGACCCATCCTTTGGGGTCTTGCCTATAAGGTGAGAACAGCAAAGCAAAAGTCCACTGGAGAATACAGAGCTTCCCATTCATGTCTATGTTTTTACATGGCATTGTCTTTAAACTTAGCAAGGTTTCCAGGTATCCCAGATTCCTGAAGGCTAGCTACACTTCTTGCACACCTTCCTTCTGCTACTTCAGACTTTCAATAGCTCCCACCTTGGATCTTTTTTTTTTTTTTCTTTCCTTTATTTTAAAAATTCATCTAATTTCACAGATGTCATCCACCAAGAATCAGGATACACCCAGAATTTAGATTTGGCACATGGCCAAAATGTTCCTTCATGACCCTCTCTGCCTCTTTCTCTGTCTTGTGACCAGGGTGAACATGGTGTTCAGGAAGTTTTGAACATCTTAAAAAAGGAGTTTCGCACATCCATGACCCTTACAGGTAAGTTTTGGTCCCCCCACCCCCACCCCGATTTGAAGCTTAAAGCTGAAGGTCAAAGGACCAGGAGTGGGTATCACTTCCTTCTAATTAACCCCTTCTGAATTTCTCATTGTCCCTTCCCCTACAAAAACAAAACAAACAAACAAACAAAAAAAAACACACAAGTGTAGCCATCAAGTGAATTCCAACGTATACAGCCTCCATAGCTTACAGTGTATGGCCGAGCTCCATAGGGTTTTCTTGACTGGAAGCTTTTTACTAAAGAGTATCACCAAGTCTTTCTTCCACGGTGACACTGGGTGGGATCAAGCTGCCAACCTCTCAGTTAGTATCCAAGTGCAGCTTTCCAAAAAAGAAAATATGGAAGAAACATTGAAGATAAGAAGTAAGCACCCTCTTAAAATGTAATACATCTGCTATGAAAGCAACTGCAATTTTGGATGATGGGAGAAAAGGGCCCATATTATGCTTTCTGACTCAGTTCTCACCAGGAATCTTAAATGTGGTTCTGGGTGACCTATTGAAGGGTTAAAAATTGTGCAGAAAGCTCACACATCCTCCCTCTACCTATGAACACTGTTTCTTCTTTTATTCACATTTCTCATTCCTTTGGTCCATTTGTTACAAGAATGAACCAATATTGATAGATTATTATTACCTGAAGTCCACAGTTCATGTTAGGATTCATTCTTTTTATTAGACTGTCTTACAGTTTTGGCAAATGCATGATGTCACATGTCCACCATGATAGCATCACACACAACAGTTTTACTGCCCTGTGTTTCTTTGGGTGTTCTTATTTTTCTTATTTTAAATTCTCTATCATGTGAATTTGTTGTTTTTATACTTACAGTGAAAATAGGTTATCACAATCAAAGCTGAGGATCAGGGAAGAAGGAAAAAATATGGGAAACCTGGATTGAATGGCACCTTTAATCATCTAATGAGTATAAGTCATTCCCTCAGGCTCCCTGGAAGAAGGGAGGTATCAAGTAGGGATCTTGCTTTTGGGAAATTCACTAAAACATAAAACCATGGAATGAAGAGATTATGCCATCCCTTAGCCATTCCCTCCACAATGTAGATCAAACACCTGCCGCAAAACCCCACATGTAGGAGGTGATCAGGAAATATGACCTCTCTCACCCAATTCCCCTTGGATTTTGTAAAGTATTCACCCTGGTTAAGCATTTGACTGCTGACTGAAAGGTTGGAGGTTTGAACACACCAACTATTCTGCTGGAGAAAGATGTTAACAGTCAGACTCTGTAAGATTACAATCTTGGTAACTCTGGGCAATTCTACTCTATGATATACATGGTCCCTATGAGTCAAAATTGACTCAGTGGCAATGGACTTGAGTTCTTGGTTTGTTTTTGTTTTTGTTTGTTTTTTTGGTTTTAGCCCCTGGGATTTCACAGCCCAAGCAGAAGAAGCCCCTTTTTAACTACTGCTAGGAGGAAAAATTAAGAAAGGTGTGCGACAAGGTTGTATTCTTTCACCATACTTATTCAGCCTGTATGCTGAGCAAATCATCCGAGAAGCTGGGTTATATGAAGAAAAATGTGTCATCACAATTGGAGGAAGACTCATTAACAATCTGTGATATGCAGATGATACAACCTTGCTTGTTGAAAGTGAAGAGGACTTAAAACATTTACTGATAAAGACCAAAGAGCACAGCCTTCAATACGGATTACATCTCAATGTAAAGAAAACAAAAATCCTCACCACTGGATCAGTAAACAACATTCTTATTAACAGAGAAAAGATTGAAGTTGTCAAGGACTTCATTCTTCTTTGATCAACTATCAACACTCACAGGAGCAGCAGTCAAGAAATCAAGTGATGTATTGCATTAGGCAAATCTGCTGCACAAGACCTTTTTAAAGTATGAAGAGCAAAGATGTCAGCTTGAGAAAAAGAGGAAGACCCCCAGCGAGACGGATTGGCGGAGTGGCAGCATCAATGGGCTCAAGCATGGCAACGGTTGTGAAGTTGGCCCAGGATCAGGCAGTGTTTTGTTCTGTTGTACATAGGGTCTCTATGAGTCAGTACCGACTCAATGGTACCTAACAACAACATCAAGGGGAAAAAAATTATTAAACAGTGATTTTCTAACTGCTAAACCAATTGCTAAAATGATATTTGTAAAGAGGTTTAAAATTATGATTTTCATGATCATATCAACACTAGGTTGCATTTTTGTTATTTATTGTTAAGTGCCATTGAGTTGGTTCTGACTCATAGCGACTCTGTATCGGGTTTCCAAGGAGCAGTTGGTATAGATCTCATGAATATCTCATTACTAACAAGGTGAGGAAACTGAACTAGTAATCAGGATAAGTTCTTTCTAGTCTCGTTGTTTCGAATTACCACTTCACTTTAAATTAGGCAAAGGCTTTTAGTGTAACTGTCCTCATAATTTATAATAATAAAACTTAGGAACAAATTGTCATCATATGCTTTCTCAACAGTTTTTCACTGAGCCCCCATCAAGTGTAAGGCAATGTCTTTGATATAAATGAAGGATCCAGAAATCAATATGATGAGAGCTTACACTGACAAGTAGAATAAATGCGCAATTATAACTGAGGTTTCTATATGTGAATGAGTACTTCAAAGTAACCCAAAGTAAAATCCTAACACTTTGATGCAATTATTGTTCTTGTATGCCAACGTAGTGTCAATTCCAACTCATGTGACTCTAGAGGACAGAGTAGAACTGCCACAGAGGGTATTTCTGTGCTGAAATCTTGACTGGACAGGAATAGATTGTTAAAGTCTTTTCTCCCATGGACTAGCTGGTGGATTTCAAACTCCAATCAGTTAGCAACAAGACTTCCTTTTGCTGCAACTATTGAAATATTTTAGGTAGTCTAATTATCACCTTTTGGAGTCTGGGTCTGGTGATGTCATATAATCACTGGAATGCTAACCAAAAGTCAGGTGGTTCAAATCCCTTTTTCTGCTGGATGAATTTGATTTGTTAGATGGATGCCGTAGATTCTATTCCTACTCATAGTGATCTTGTGTACAACAGAACAAAACACTTCCAGATCCTATGCCTTCCTCACATTTGTTGTTTGAGTTCATTGTGTTGTCGCAGTGTCTGCCCATCTTATTGAGAGTCTTCCTCTTTTTTTGTGGCTCCTCCAACTTACCAAGCATACCTTCCTTTTCCAGGGGAAGGTCCTACATGAAACATATCCAAAGTACCAGAAATGAAGTCTCACCATCCTCCCATCTGAGGAAAGTCTGGCTCTATTTCTTCCAAGACAGATTTGTTTCTTCTTCTATCAGTTCACAGTACTTTCACTCTTCTTCTTCGTCAGCACCATAATTCAAATGCATCATTTCTTCTATGATGTTCCTTATTCATTGTGCAACTTTCACATACATATTTGTTTTTGTTGTTGTGTACTGTAGAGTCAATTCTAACTCATAGTTATCCTGTATAGGATTTTTGAGGAGTGGCTAGTGGGTTTGAACCATTGACCTTGAGGTTAGTGGTCCAGTGTTAATCCTACCGTGTATATTGTTGTTGTTAAGTGTTGTCAAGTCAGTTCTGACTCATAGCAGCCTTTATAGGGTTTCCAAGGAGCAGGTGACGGGTTTGAACAATGAACCTTGTGGTTAGCAGTCCAGTGCTTATAAGTACCATGACTAGTCCTCAAATTGACATCTTTACTTTCGAATACTTTAAAGAGGTCTTTGCAGCAGATTTGCCTAATCATTTGGTTCTATGCTGCTACTTCCATGAACATTGCTTTTGGATGCAAGCAAACCGAAATCTTTGACAGCATCAGTTTTTTCTCTATTTACCAAAATGTTTTTTTGTTTTTTTTTTGGTCCAGTTGTGAAGATTTTTGTTCTGTTTATACTGAGGTACAACTCATACTGAAGACTATGTAGTCTTTGAGCTTCATCAGTATTTCAAATAGTCTTTTCTCCCAGCAAGCAAGATTGTGTCATCTGCATATTGCATGCTATTAAACAGTCTTCCACCAATCTTGGGGCCATGTTCTTCTCCATATAATCTAACTAATTTAATTGTTTGGATTTCTGGTGAGGCGCTGAGGGATAAAGCACTGAACCACAAGGTCCATTTAAACCACAAGGTTGGCAGTTCAAACTCACTAGCCTCTCTTTGAAAACCCTATACAGGGTCACAATGAGTCAGAACTGACTTGATAGCACTTAACAACAACAACAATTTGATTATTTGCTCAGCATACAGATTGAATAAGTATGGTGGAAGGATACAACCCTGACACACACATTTCCTGACTTTAAACTATTCAGTATCTTCTTGTTCTCTTTAAATAACTGCTTCTTCACCTATGTATAGTTCCCTCATGAGCACAATTAAAGTGTTCTAGAATTTCTATTCTTCTCAATGTTATCGATAGTTTGTTATGATCCAAATAGTCAAATAAATTTGCATAGACAATAAAGCACAAGTAAACATCTTTCTAGTTGCTCTGCTTTCAACCAAAACCCATCTGACATCAGCAGCAATATCCCTCGTTCCACACATCCTCTTCTGAACCCAGCTTGAATTTCTGGCAGCTCCCTGTCCATGTAGTGCTGCAACTGTTTTTGAATTATCATCAGCAAAATTTTAATTGCATGTGCTGTTAATACTGTTGTTCAATTATTTACATGTTCCATTGGGTCAACTTTCTTTGGAATGGATACAAATATGGATTTCTTCCAATCAGTTGGCCAGGTGACTGTTTTTCAAATTTCTTGGCATAGACTTGTGAGCACCTTCATCACTGATCCATTTGTTGAAAGATTTCAATTTGTATTCCATCAATTCCGGGAGCCTTGTATTTCACCAATACCTTCAGTGTACCTTGGACTTCTTCCTTCAGTCCCATCAGTTCTTGATCATATGTTCCCTCAGCATCAACCAATTCCTTTTAGTACAGTGATTCTGTGTATTCCTTCCATCTTCTTTTGATGTTTCCTGCATCATTCAATATTTTGCCTATGGAATTCTTCAATATTTAAAATTAAGCTTTGAATTTTTTCATCAGTTCTTATAGCTAAGAATTGTTTGAAAGTGTTCACCCTTTTGGTTTTCTAACTTCATAATACTTGACTTTGTCTTCTTGAACTGTCCTTTGAGATTTTCTGTTCAGTTCTTTTATTTCCTCATTTCTTCCAGTTGCTTTAGCTTCCTTACACTTTTGAGAATATTTCAGAGTTTCTTCTCATATCCATGCTAGTCTTTTCTTTCTTTCCTGTCTTTTTAATGACCTTTTTCTTTCTTCATGTGTGCTATTCTTAATATCATCCCACAACTCCTCTGGTCTTCTTTGGTCATTAATGTCTAATGCATCAAATCTGTTCTTGAGATGATCTCTAAATTCAGGTGGAATCTATTCAAAGTCATCTTTTCATATCATGAACTTTTTTTTCCTTCAGCTTCAACCTTATCTTGTGTTTGAGAAATTGATGACCTGTTCCACAGTCAGCCCATGGCCTTGTTTTGGCTGATGATATTGAGCTTTTCCATCATCTCCTCCCACAGGTGTAGTCAATTTGATTTCTGTATACTCGATCTGGTTGTGGTCCATGTGGATAGCTGCCAATCATGTTGTTGAAAAAGGTATTTGCAATAAATAAATAATTGGTATAGCAAAAGTCTATCAAACAATTTCCAGTATCGTTTCTACTACCAAGACCATATTTTCCGACTACTGAACCTTCCTCTTTGTTTCCACTTTTCACATTCAATCACTAGTAATTATAAATGTGCCTTGATTGAATGCTGGATCCATTTCAGCCTGAAGATTTTGCTAAAATTCTTCAATATCATCATCACTGGCTACAGTAGTTGGTGTAAAAATTTGTAGACATATGGATATTATCTAATTACGGACAGTACTGTGCTTCTTTTCTTCAGGCTAAATCTTGAAATGCCCTTTGTGATGATGAATGTAACAACATTCCTTTCCATTTTGATGTTCCCAGCATAGTAAACCCTTTGATTATTTTATTCAAAATGGCCAATACCAGTCTATTTCAGCTCACTAATGCCTAGGATATAGATCTTTTTTGTTCCATTTCATTTTTCGTAACTTCCAATTTCCCTAGATTCATTCTTGGTAATTCCATGTCCTGATTATTAATGGATGTTTGCAACTGTTCTTCTCATTTTGTGTTGTGACCCATCAGCAAATGAAAGTCCCCAAATCTTAACTCTGTCCATGTCATTAAGGTCAAATGTACTTTGAGAAGGTAGCTCTTCCCTGATTGTATTTTGAATGACTTCCAACATTAGGAGTTCATCTTCGGGCATTATATCAGATAACATTCTACTTAGTCTGGAAGCTCCACTGAAACCTGTCCAGCATGGTGACCCTGTTGTATTTAAAATGCTCGTGGCACAGCTTTCAACATTAAAGTAAAATACAAGGTACAACAGTATAACAAACTAGCAAGAAGAGCAGTGGGATTTCAAATTGTTGTTGTTGTTATGTGCCGTGGAGTTGGTTCCGACTCGTAGTGACCCTGTACAGGGTTTCTGAGACTGTAAATCTTTACAGGAACAGAAATCCTCATCTTTCTCCTGAGGAATGGCTGGTAGTTTTGAACTGCTGACCTTGAGGTTTGCAGCCTGATTCGTAACCACTGCGCTACCAGAGCTCCTGGGATTTCAAATTACAGATTATTTACTTGTCCCACGACTGCTGTTTATGTCCATTCTAATCAGCCAAATATGAAACTCAACTCTCTTTTGTTCCCATGTTTAGAAAAAACACTCTTTTTAGTTAAAATGTTTGATGTAACACATTTTTCTAAAGTTATGCTTTAGGAGGTGAAGAAGTACACATTGTAGATAAAAAACTTCAAGTAAATGTTAGATATTTGTTGTTGTTGTTGTTGTTGTTAAGTACTGTGGAGTTTGTTCTGACTCATAGAGATCCTGCACAGGGTTTCTAAGGCTGTAAATCTTTACTGGAACAGAAAGCCTTATTTTTCTCCATTGGAACGGCTGGTAGTTTCAAACTGCAGACCTTGAGGTTAGCAGCCCGACTCGCAACCACTACGCTACCAGAGCTCCTTAATGTTATATATACCTGTTATTAAATTCTTAAAACCTTCCCATCACCAGGAAATTTTCAGTGTTACTTCACCAGACTCCTTAATTCCATACCATCTTGCTAATTTCCCTTTCTCCCTTCTTTTTTTCCCCTATTGCCTGGAGTGATTCCCTTCAATCCCTGAGTCCAATTTTAATGCCAGTCATGCTCTTGCATAATAAAGAGACTCAGCACACAAAGAGTCTTTTCATTTCTTGGAATGTTTCCTTAGAAGGCCTTGACCGTACAGAACAACCATCCCATATCTTAGACTAACCCTCAGTCTTACTCCTCCCCGACTTTCCACATCCCGGAGCTTTATCAGGACGGAGGTTAAGGTCATGTATGTATCTAATGTATGCCATGTTGCTTTGTTAGTTTCCCTGAGTCCATTTGGACTCATGGATTATTGTTGTTGTTATCTGCCATCAAGTGGGTTCTGACTCATAGAAACCCTATGAGAAAAAAATACAGGTTTTCCTAGGCTGCAAATTTTTTACAGGAACGGAAAGTCTCATCTTTCTCCCTTAGAATGATTGATGAGTTTGAACTGCCAACCTTGTGGTTAGCAGTCCAGTACTTATTGTTCAGTGCCACCAGAGTTCTGATGTTGTTGTTAAGTGTTGTCGAGTCTATCCCGACTCATAGCGCTCCTATATAGGGTTTCTGAGTTGCAGCTGGTGGGTTTGAACTGCTGACCTTGTGGTTCACAGTTCAGAGATGATCCTACACATCACACCAGGAGTCCTAGTGGATTACAAATGCTGAAATGATGTTTTTGCATTTTACTCTTCTGTTCTCACATGACTATGTTAAAAAGAGTTCATGGGTGTTAGAAACAGTTAACTGCCTGAAAGTTAACTAACTGAAAGACTGCCTGTTTGAATCCACCCAGGGGTGCCTGGAGATCTTCTTCCAAAAGGTCTCAGCTATAAAAACCCTGTAACACATAAGATTGTCCTAAGATGGAACTGACTACCTAGAAATAAAAATATGTGTATCTATGTCCCTTAGCTTTGTCATCTGAGTATGTCTGGATTTGAAACAATGACCCATTAGTACAAATAAGTATCTGTACCTATTCTCCACTAAAAGGGAACAATAGATCTTGGGTAAATGACTAACTCCAAACCTAGAACAGGAAAAGTACAAAATGGTCTGCAAATATCTGGTTATACAAAAAAGTAAGAAAGTGCTTGAGAAATGATGGGAGCATGCCAAAAGGACCTAAGATCCAACTACCTTAGAGGGAGTCCCACTGGCAAAATATAGGCTACTTGGAGCAATTGACCTCTGCTTTTACTGGCTGTCACACAGGCTCTTAACAGAATTCTCAGTGAAATCAAAAGTAAGTGGTTCATTCTGTGTACTTACTCTTTTAACAAAGTGTGGACAGAGATCAAGTTAGGCTTGTTGATCACCCCAAACCTTGATGGATGGTTTACTAGCATTTAGAAGAATGAACTTTCTTTATTCTTTGTTTTTTTTTAGGTTGCCGGTCAATTGCTGAAATCAACCAGAACCTGATTCAATTCCCCAGGTTGTAAGAAAGAGAACTAACAATCAGACCACTGAGATTGCCCACAGGAAGAAGACAAACTCAAATACAGTGTTTGATGCCACCATCTAGATGCCCCATTTTACCCAACAGCTCATCCTCTGCTCCTTCACTCCTCTAACTCTGTACTCTGGACACTCCAACTCTTCATCTTTCTCAAATAAGTCCTGAAATTCTGGGACTTACTGCATTTAATACGTTGTTTTCTTACTAGAAATGATAGAGTTAAGAGACAGGCTTTAGTGCCATCCAGACATGAATTTGACAGTTAGGACTACTGTTGAAAAGCTGTCTGACTTGAGCAAATTTTTCAAACTATATGTTTCTATGTTGCTATCTGTAAAATGAGGATTATAGTACTTAGTTTGCTAGTTTGGGGGAAAGATTTTGAGAGAATGTATGTAAAATGCGGAGATCAATAATGAGTATCTTGTGGTGGTGGTGGTATGCCATGGAGTTGGTTCTGACTCATAGCAACCCTGCATAGGGTTCCTGAGGCTGTAAATCTTTCCTAGAACAAAAATATCTCATCTTTCTCCAGTGGAATGGCTGGTAGTTTCAAACTGCTGACCTTGAGGTTAGCAACCCGACTTGTAACCACTATACTACCAGAGCTCTTGGAAGAGCTCAAGAAGCTATTGTTATGATGTTTTGACAAATTCCTATTATCTTTCAGGACCCTGTTCAAATGTCACCTGACTTACCCTGGCTACTTGTTCTGTGCTTCCTCTTGTACTTTCCACATTCCACTATTATAATCCCTATTATAATGTGCTATGCTTACTTATTTCTGAGTTTCTCTCTGCAAGTAGATTGTGAATGGCTTTAGGCAAAAAGCTATATGCGTGGCACTGGGCTTGGAAAATAGTAGCATCTCAATGAACTTTGTGGGGTTGGATGAATGCATGGATGGATTGATGGATAGATACATGGATGGATGGATGGATAGATGGATAAATATGTGCAAAGAGGAACATAAACATGCATACATCCCCTGCCAGAGAAACCCTTCTTAGACCAGTAGTTAGCTAGAGTAGATTTGTAGGGCAGGGATAATCAACTAAATAAGAGCTAATACTTAAAGATATAAGAAAGTTAGGTTTGCCATAGTCAAAATAAGGAAACAACTAAAATAGCATCAACAGAAGAATGGATAAACAAAATGTGATATATACATATACAATGATTTATTTAGACATAAAGAGAAGTGAAGTCTTGAAGCATATCATTACATGAATGAAACTCCAAGACATCATGCTGAGTGAAATAAATCAGTCCAAAAAGGACATGTACTGTATGATCTCTCATACGAAATATGTAAAAACACAGTGCTATTGAGTTGATTCCAACTCATAACTAGCTACCCTAGATGGATAGAACTGTTCCATGGGTTTTCCCAGTAGCGTAGTGGTTACGAATCGGGCTGAGAACCTTAAGGTCAGTGGTTCGAAACTACCAGCCGCTCCGCGGGAGAAAGATGAGGCTTTCTACTCCCGTAAAGATTTACACCCTCGGAAACCCTGTACAGGGTCGCTATGGGTCGGAACCGACTCGACGGCACTTAACAACAACAACAACAATCTTATGGAAGCTGACTGACACAACCTTCTCCATAGAGTGGTTGGTGAGTTCAAACTGCTGACTCTTCAGTTAGCATTTGAGCCCTTAACCACACAACCACCAAGATGTGGTTTGGAGTCAGTTCCAGCTCATAGTGACCCTGTATAAGGTTTCTGAGGGCATAAATCTTTACAGTAGCAGAAAGCCTAATCTTTCTTTTGTGGAGGGAACCACCAAGGTAGAAACCAAAACTTATTAGTTTATAGTGGTGGAAGGATATGAAAAAGTTTTTGCTTGGAGGGCACTGAATAAGTTAATGGTAATGGAATAATATGGAAAGGGATAGTGTGAACTCAAAGTACAACTTGAAGAATGTAATAAATGTCACTTTTTCATGCATGTAGAAAAAGCTGGAGGGAAAAAGTCAAGGATGAAAATCAATGTCATAAATAAAATGTCTCAGAACTGGCTTCCTCAGATGTTCCCTTGTCTCTTGTTGAATTACATTCTTCGTACAACAGCCAGAGAGATTTTTTCTTTTCTTTTTTTCTAAAAGAGAAATTGCTACATTAAAGAACATATGTATTTTTAATTTTGGTAGATAGCAAAGCTATCTAGGGTTTGTACCAATTTTTATTCCTACCATCAATGTATGAGCATATTACTCTCTATACAGTTTCACCAATAGAATGTATGCACAAACTTTCACATTTTTACCAGTATAGGATAAGCACTGGACTGCTAACTGCAAAGTTGGCAGCTCAAACCCACGAGTTGTTCCTTGGAAACCCTATACATGTTCACTGTGACTCAAAACCAACTTGATGGCACTTAATAACAACAAACAACAATAAGAAAAAAGTAGAATCATTTTCATTTACATTTTTCCTATCTTGTTAAGCATTTTAAAATGTCTAACACATTTGTAGTTGTTTTCGCAAATTATATGTTAATATCTTTTGTTTATTTTTGTACGATATTGTTGGGTTTTTTTTCTTTTTAATATATAAGGCAGTCTCCAAAAGCATTTCTGAATATCATAATTCACCATTATAGATGTCATGATATTAGAAAAAATAAAAATTTTAAGATAGAATAAAAGGTCAGACTGTCCTGTGTTAAATATGTCATAACAACACAGAAGATGCTACCACAGAGAGATATTCTTAAAAATAAAACCAAATCCTGTGTTTTACCTGTTAAAAATCTTTCTTGGTGATGGTGCTGTAGGATCAGCACTGGACTGCTAACCACAAGGTCACCAGTTTAAACCCACCTGCTGTTCCTCAGAAACCCTATACAGGGTTGCTATGAGTCAAAACTGACTCAACAGCACTTAACAACAACAGCCACCTGACTTCCATTGCTTTTAGTATTAACTCTAAGCTGGTCACCAGCTCTGTGCTATGTTACGTGATCTGGTTCTTCCTGATCCTTACAATTCCTTACTCCCTATCACTCTCCCCTTTGCTCATTAGATCTCACTTGTATAGTGCTCCTTTCCGTTCCTGAAACAAGCAAAACTTTTTCTTGCCTCTGAAATATCATACTGTTCCCCTACCTAAAATACCATTCCCAATCTACTTCCCAAGTTTGACTTGACCTTGGCAGTTAAAACTCAGCTTAAATGTCAGTTTCTATTTTAAGTGAGATAACATTTATCTGACAGTCTCATCTAGAATAAGCTCTATTTCAGTTGTTTCATCACATCACCCTGTGTTTCTCCCTCCTGTTGTTGTTATTGTTAAGTACTGTGGAGTCGGTTCCAACTCATAGTGACCCTGCACAGGGTTTCCGAGGCTGTAAATCTTTATGGGAGCAGAACGACTCATCTTTCTCCTGCGGAACCTCTGGTAGTTTCGAACTGCCGATCTTGAGGTTAGAAGCCTGATTAGTAACCACTACACTACCAGAGCTCCTTCCTAGACTCACTATCATCTGCAATAAACTTGCTCTTTGTTTACACGTTTACTGTCCATCTGTATCCACAAGGGGGTCGGGGTGAAGGGGTGGAGGAGGGGTGGCCTTAATCAGTCTTTGCCACCATTGCATTCCCAGAGACTACAACCATAGTCCAAACCATAGAAGGCTTTGCATAAATCTTTGATAATAAATTCACCCAAGGTAAAGTGAGATCAAACTGCATCATCACCTCTAAAGAAACAAAGCATTCTCAGAAGAACAGAACTAAACCAAATGGATCACTACTTGAACCAATAGATGTAAAAGTCTCTGGGGCTGGACCCATACCATGGTATAGTTTCACTTTTGCCCAATTTATCCCAAATAGCAAGAGCCTGGTCAGGAAAACATCAGACAACATGAAAAATACTAAAAGAGAATGTAGTTCAGAAGCAGTCTCCCCGGTAACAACTCTTACAGCTTTAGCCGTTTGCTTAACCCAAGTGTCTGGATATGCCACCAATGGTACTGCTCTTCTTGGTCTCAAACTGACTATAGGACCCCTAATGCAGGTGCCAAGGAGGGACCTAAATAAAACGTTTAAGTCTGATGCAAGGATCCTGGTCCATTTCCACTTTCCTTTTGCCAACTCATCAGCAATGACAGCTAAATGCTTCCTGAGACTCTTTTTCAAAGACCATGATTCTACTAAGTATTTACTACTTTCCAAGGTGTTCTAGGAGTCCTGGTGTGGCGCTGTGGATTAATGCGCCAGACTTCAATGCTGTTTGAACTACAAGGTCGGCGGTTTTAACTCACCAGCTGCTCCTCAAAAACCCTACAAGGGCCGCTATGGGCCGGAACCGACTCGGCGGCACTTCACAACAACAACAACAACAACAGGTGTTCTAATTACACCAGTGATGGTAATGAATTATAATCCACTTTGGCGCTGTGGGTTAATGTGTCAGACTGCAACGCATTTGAACTGCAAGGTTGGCTGTTCAAGCTTACCAGCTGCTCCTCAGAAACCCTATACAGGGTCGCTATGGGTCAGAACAGATGTGACAGCACTTCATAACAACAACAAATAAACTAAGAACACCTGAGTCTGTACTGATCTGAATGAATGAATAAAAATGGAAAGCTCTTCCTTATAGTAAAAGACCAACTAATATCAAAAGAATTATGGACTTCTTTGTAAGAGTTGTTGTTGTTGTTAAGTGCCGTCGAGTCGGTTCCGATCCATAGCGACCCTGTAGAGGGTTTCCATGGAGCAATTGGTGAGCATGAACCACCAACCTTGCAGTTCAAACTGACTTTGCAGTCTAGCGCATTAACCCACAGCGCCACACCAGGACTCCTTGGTAAGGGTGGGACCAGACTGGTACCTATGAGGTGGAGATCAGACATACCTCTGCCCTCCAACATTTTTACCAATCTGACACCAACCATCCCTGCCACGGCACTCCCTACTTCTTTACTGCGTTGTAATGGTCACACAGAACTCATAGACCACACCCACAA